ACAAAATCATTCTGGGGTTGTATTACCTGACACGCACCGGAAATGGCTATTGTAGTCTCTTTAACCTTCGCAGGTAATATCGGACTGTTACTGATTGTTCATGACTATGCGGCCCCCTATGGCGTCCTCGACCAACCTCAAGGTTAAAACTGAAAGCAAGTACTCCACTCTGTAAATAGACCACACTTTTGACAAGTTTGCAAACTCCCCAGCCTCCTAAAGTAAGAACGCAGACACACGTTTCACTAGAAAAAAAACGAGGACCCCGATGACATGGGATCTAACTGTGTGCGTTAACGGGTGGTCGTAGTAGTTCATAAAACGACCTTCAGAGAAAATTATCTAGGAAATAAGCGGGAAGAATATGCGGCGACAATACTGCCGGGCGTGTTTGGGTCCAAAGTCGCAGTACTGCTGGGCTATGGCTGATGTTGTTAGCTATTCACCATTCGGTACAATCTTGAAACCCCTAAACTCGTGTGCTGCCACGGTAGATTAAGACAATCATCCTTGCGAGTTAGAGAGCCTCCTTGCATGAGAGCGACCCAGCACAGCTGCTGTCTGAGGAGTTACGCTTTATCTGAGGACAGACATCAACTTGTAGAACTAGAATGTCCTCTGACAAGTCCGAAGTAATCTTGCAATAGTTGGCAGCTATGAACTCGCGTGCTTGTCGTCAACAGCTGCTATACTCCCAGGTGTATTGGTTCCTGATGACTACATTAAGTCAACTATAGAACTGCAAATCACCTTCTAAAGTTGCAAAAATTATCATCAAAGAATTCAGAAGAACACTTAGCGAGCATACGTAGCTTTCGATCAATTCTCATCGAGCCATTACATTTATATATGGAGGGAGTAACAAGCAACATGCTGGCAAGTATGCTCATCATCACAGGCAAAGTAGTCATAGAAATAGGGGAGGGGTGGGGTTGATAGTACTCGGCTGGTTGCGAAGTAATGCGGGTTTGTTGAATCCGGACAGGGGGAGGGTGGAAGGGGAAGAAGGCGTGGAAAGATGCAGGCAGTTATGTAACCGTTGGTCATGCCAAGCTCGGAGCTTGCAGGAGCTTCGTTTGCGCGCACAAAATCGGCTTCCTCAACCGGATCACGGTTGCTTCTGCAGTTTCTATCAAACACTGACGCAGGACCTTGGGTAGTTTGGCGGGATCTTATAAATTACATTAAAGGCTTCGCTGGAAGTAAACCATGTAAGCAAGGATTGCGCTGTTGATACTCCTGACTTCACCTTTGGCCAGCCATGTCGGGAGATGCTCCCGTATTATTTTGGATAAGCGCCGACTCGTGCGGCCGATAAAACCTGCTCCACAGGAGCAAGTAAATGAGTAGATGCAGGTAGAAGTGGTCTGAGCTGGCAGCCTATCCTTACCTTCGCCGTGCAGGACCGAGCTGGTTGAGAATAACACACGAACTTTTTCTGCTGGGGCGGTTCTTGATGCGGCTTGGTTGAAGCATCTGCTTAGGAGTTCGCTCGCTGCTAACCTTGCTTCGAGAGAAACGAATACCCGAACGAATGCTGGAGAACGTTGCGACGGAGGCATACAGTGGTCACCACAGAAGCCCTTAAAAGATATGCCGAGAACCAACTAGAAAGCGCTCGCGTAAAGATTTATGAACTGGAGCGTCACGTGTGCCAACGCACTGCCGTTCTAGACACCCTGATCGAGGAGGAAAAACGAGAATTCAGCAGCTAAACTCAAACCATAGAAAGAAAGCGTGGGGACGCCAAGAGATTTTCGCTCCTTCAAAGCTAGCACGAAATCAACCACAATCAAGACACCCGAAAGATCCAGAGCAGTACGTACACAGCTATTCCTCTCTTACACTCGATACCATCCATATTCGACTAATTCAGCTTGTCTAATTTGCGCTTTTTGGACTGTTTACTAGGGTTCCGGGGAATGCAACGAGCAAGCAGATCGCAAAAAAAAAACACCTGAAACTTCACAACTTCGCCGAAAATAGTGATCAAACTTGGTCAGATCAGTACATTGATCACTACGCCGGACAAAAGGCTGTGTCAAACTGCCCACCAAAGGCCGGCCAGACGTACGAGGACACGCCCAGACAAGCTGGCCTTACAGTGAGCGATCGCCTCCACTCA